CTCTCTACCCCTTTGCTGAAGTATTCAATAAAGATTCTGTGGTGCTACTACAGTGTGTCTGCCAATGATCAACACGTCATTTCCTCTCCTTGAAGGGGTTCAGAGGCCAAAATTATGGCAAGATCTTTAGGGAAGACATTCACCTGTTCTTATCATAGAGGGAAGTAGCCTCCTCCACCAATTTTTATAACTTGAAACTGAAAGCAGATATTGGCATTAAATTCAGCGAGTAAAAGCTGTGAATGATCAACTGATCGAAAGAGTGGCCGATGAATTTATACTGCTATATGTGGGGCTGAAATTGTGCCTGAAAATAGATCTTTAGAAAGGACCTACTGGACGGAAGTAGTGTTTATTTGGAGGAAAAACAATTCACAGGGCAGTCCCACTAGGATAATAAGGCGAAGGCCTTTTGTCGCCTGAGCAAAACCAATTCTTGTTTTTCCCCTTACAGCGTCTCTGGGTCATCATAGTCATTGGTCAGAGCGGTGGGGAGGGTGGGGAATATCAGGGAGGCCCTATGGAGTTGTTGCTTTGTGTCTCCAAAGCTATGAAGCCTTATTTGTCCCTTTCACAGCATGTGATATTTTTAGACCTTGGATACAATCCAGTGGCAGTCACGCTGCTCAGGCGGAGGTTGCGGGAAGCTGTCCTATGCCCAGCTGGTCCATTCCCCCTGCAGAACAAAGCATCCGTGCACTATAATTATACCAGGAAGAGCTAATAAAAGCTTCCATACAAACCTCAAAATTCAATTAGTCCTGTATTGTAAGCCTGACCCCGAAGACAGATAAAAGCTTAGCTTCTGATCGGTGGAACAGTTCCAGCTCGGTGAAGCCGGCTGCTCCCAAATCATGAATTCTTTTTGCTGCTTCGTGCGCTAAGGCGGCCATATCACCTGGTTGTTTATGAAGCACCGCCGGTTTGGAAAATTTAGGGTGCCTTGCTTTTGAATTTCACTGGGTTGTTCTGCACCACTGACCCTGGCTGAAGAATTTCACATAGAATTCGTCCCTATAATCATGTTCTTTGTGCCCAGAGGGGACACTTTATGATATCCTGGCCTCAATACTTAAATGAAAGTACCTGGTGGGAGGCTGACCTCCGGAATTATTGAATCTTAAGCCATACCAACAGGACAAGTGGATTGGGGATTCTCCCCATGGATAATAACTGTATAGTGTTTTCTTACTGTCAGTTCCATATCCTCTTCATCTTTTTCTTTTGTGGGCTTCTCTACTTCTTCTGGCTCCTTCTCTTGGAGATGTATTTCCTGGGCCTGTGTCATGTAGGGCATGTCGTCTTTGTTCTTGAACTCCAAGCTGAGAATTGAAGGAGGAAGTAGAATTCCCAGAATTACCTAAAGTAATAATAATGATAATAATAATAATCACATTTAAAGGATTAAGATTAGGGTGGTTGCTTAGAATCAGAGGGCCTGAGGTGAGGGGGATGTGTGTGTATGTGCGTGTGTGTGCGCGCACTACGTGTGTGTTATGTGTGTTCTCTGTGTGAGGGCTTGCACATCTGAGTAACTACACACGTCAATGGTATGAGAGTCACTCCTGCCCCTTCAGAAACTGTGATGCACCATGTTGGGTATTTTCACAGTAAGCTTCTTTGCCTTGAACATCTTTNAGAGCACAATGATAATACCAACATGGGCCAGTGAAGTGACGTCTTCCACAACTAGACTGAAGAACAAAAGGACAGCAACTTGTCTGTTCCCCTTCCTTGATTCCCAACACTGTTCCCCTACCCCAAGTCCCCAATAAAATCTTAAAAAAAAAAAGTCATAAATGATTTACTTGTAACCAATAGGATTTCTGGAGAAGGTAACTGCCATTCCTTTATGGACACTTTGGCTAGAAAAATACCTTGAGTTAATGAATAAGTAACATCCTACATTATGGCCTATGTAGGTGTTGATTTTGATCAGTGAGTTGAACCAATCTCTGTGGTGGATAGAGCACACTAGACAGCAATCAAGTTCCATAAATATTGATCATTGACTCCAAGAAACTCTCAGGTTCCATGATATTTGTTCCTGTATAAATTATAATGTATGTAACATAATTATCCTATTTCTGTTTGGCTTATTTATATGCTTAGCAATACAATGCCATTTGGGGACACAATGAAATGACAGTAAAGGCAGCTTGGAGGCTTTTAGGCATCTTGGAAAGTGTCATCTTCAGGTAACCTCTAGGGACAGTGACTTTCCCAACAGTCATAGTAAAGCCCCGAGTCTGTGGACATGTTGGGACATTATTAGGAGAAGTTCATGACATTTATCTGGCAATGCAGATAAAACAAAGCCAAAAACACAACGACCCGTTTTACCTTTATTATTCGGATATATTACAAAGTGAATGCATTTTTAAAAGGTTCGTCTTCCATGAGTTTAAGTAAAGCATTCTTGATATTTTATTAATTCTAGCTTAAAAGATTAACCTGCTGATTTTGCTGATTTCTTTCCCCAGCAGTCAAATATTTCCTTTGCCCACATTCCTTAAAATGGAAGGTCACCAGGTCAAATACACACAAAACGGCACAATATAAATTAGAAAAATCTTTGCTGTCTGAACACAGATGTCCAGTATGGATAAGATCCTTTGAGGTAAGCAAAGCTACTTAAATGCTACTAAAATGAAGCAAATCAAGGCTGATGTTTCACGTATAATTTTGGATGGGCCCAGGGAAAATATCTTGCTCTAAGAGAGGATGGAGTGGTTTAACACAGAATCTCAAATACTAATCCTATGAAAAGACCAGAGGAGTTACTTAGCTGCAGGATTCTCAAATCCTGTCCAGGGTGAGCCGATATCAGGGTTCCCGCAATGACAGGATTTGTCATTAGGGTCAGAGGATGGTCCACCTTAAAGACAACTGCTGTCTAACCCTGACTTAGCCAGCCCACGGGTCCCTTCCTTTCTTTCCTTCTCCCTGCTGTTTCAGCCTCTGGGGAAGAGGCTTCGTAGCAATGTTAGTGTGGTGTCTTCTACTTGCATTCTCAGTAAACAACTACAGGGTCTAGTCTCTGGGAAGCAGACTTTGCTTTCAGTCCAGAGATACATTTTTTTACTGTGGCTTCT